AACAGCGGTTAATACTTTTGCGAGTAAAGATATGGGCTTTGTAGAGCAATTGCTAAACCCAGCAATGTATCTATCTTTACATTAGGATTTTTATGAAGTTAATGAATCCAGTATAGGTAGAGTAGATCGAACAAACCTTCGTTGACTGGTATGTTAAAAGTATTAAAGACTGAAATATGATTTTGAAGAATTTCATCCTTAGAAAGTGAACTGTAGCATGAGTTGGATTCTAGATGAAGAATTAAAACCAAGTTCTTCTAAAATGCAATCATAATAATGAACCTTTCAAACAAAGATAATATTGTTACAAACCTTGTCTGCTGGAACCATTATAATAAATTGTTCATCTAGTCTTTTTCTTTTATCACCTCCGATTTAGTGAACACGGATGGATAGATGGTTTGCACATTACCTTTTAACTTTCTAACGCGATTCTTTTATATATTTCTAAAACACTTAATCCATTCTGAAGAAATGTCCAGATCTTCCGCTTCAATGCACGGCATGTCTTCGACAGAGTTTATTATAGAAATGAAGATCTATCGTCAATTGAAAGATCGAGGCTCCCTGTATTTAGGTTTGGGAATATATATAGGAAATGCAGGGTGTAGACTTGAACTTAAAATGTGGTGGAATGCAAGACTAAACTTTTTTATGATAAAGAATATTACTAATGTTCACAGCATCTACCTCTTTGTTGGCAAGTTTAAGGAACGTGTTGAATCGAAATTATTATCTTCTGACACATGCACGTGGCGGCTTAAAGAGTCTGTGCTGGGCAACATCAATGATCCCAAACACTAGCTTGTGTTCTGCAGTTGAAGTATCCAAGTAAGGACTTATTTTAGCATCTTTAAATAGTCCAACTGTCATTGAGCAAGGTAAAGTGAATCAAAAGAGACATCATGTATATTTGGTCTATAACTGTATGATCGATGGCCATGACTACGCCTACGTCTAGGCGTGTTGTTAAAAAAGTCCTTTTATATTCACTGGCACATTGTGGGCTTGAAAGATTTCCCACATTATTTATGTGGTCGTTGCAACCATACGGAAATACAGTGCTTAGTTTCCTGATCCAGTATTATTCTCTTGTCTACGGAATGGAGTACTAAATGTTAACTTTGACACTATGGACACTTTAATTTACTATATTGAGAACTATGACACTTTGATTTACTATAGTGAGAACTTTGAAAACTATAGTGATCACTGTGACACCATACACTGTAGTGATCACTTTAAAAACTTGGATTTACTATAGTTATCGCTCAAATGTACTATACGTCGTTGGGTTTGAGGTGATAACTCTACACATATGGTTTGACGTATCCAATGGCATTTGATATTTTGACTTACTAAATATAATGTCAGTGTGTCTTCCATTTACTACATCAACATTGATAATACAAAGAACACAAATGGAATGAGAGACAAACCTTTTTTTCATGTAAGAAATATCTTGTCATTAGCAGTCATTAAAAAATATATAGTATTGAAAGTATCTATACTAACAATGAACAAGAGGCCCATGTGCCATATAGCTCACCTGACATTTTGGTTAGAGGAAATCAGAAATCAGTTCAGTATATTGAAAAGTTCAGATATATGTGTCCAACTTACCCTCAGAGGGTGATGATGTGAACAAACTTTCTTCCATATGAATATGACTAAATCATGAGTTTGTTGCTCTTGAGGAGAAGATTTTTAAAGATTGTTTTCTTATAATCCCATGTAAAACTTTGATTGCTTAATGTGGCCCCATCCAACGCCCAGGTCATGAGCTGAACAAATTTGAATCTACACTTCATGAGGATGCTTCTGTATTAATGACTTATCATGTCTTTGCTGTTCTTGAGAAGATTTTCCCTATATATTCCTAAGTACAAATTTGATTCCTCCTGTTGTGGCCCCACATTACCCCCAGGGGTCATGATTTGAACTTACTTTATCTACACTTTCTGAGAATGCTTCTGTATTAATATGACTAATCATGACTTTGCTGCTTCTAAGATATTTCCTATATATTCCTATGTATAACTTTGATCCCCTGTTGTGGCCAACCCCTGGGGATATGATTTGAACAAACTTGAATCTATACTACCTGAGGATACTTCCTATTACATGAATAACCATGGCTTTACTGTTCTTGAGAAGATTTTTAAAGATTTATCTTTGTATGCCTATGTAAAACTTTGCCCACCCATTGTGACCCCACCCTACCCCGGGGATCGTGATTTAAACAAACTTGAAGATAAGAGTAATCTGCAAGACGGGGTATTCTAAATGTGAAATTAAATGCGACTTCTATCAAGGAAAAATGGTTTATTATAAAAATAACTTTGATACTTTGAATAACCAGTTATCACTTTGAAAACATTGATTTACTGTAGTGATAACTTTGACACTTTGCTTTACTACAGAATAACTTTGACACTATAGTGATAGCTATGACACTATAGTGATAACTTGAAAACTTTGATTTACTATAGTGATAACTTTGCAAACTTTGATTTACTAAATATAAAATAAAGAATTTGCTATCTTAGTTTTGTTTGTTTGTATGTTGTTTAATGTCCCTCTCGAGAATTTTTCACTCATATGGAGACGCCACCACTTGTCGGTGGAGAGCTGCAAATTTTGTCCTATACTCGGCACTTACGGCCATTGAGCAGTGAGGGATCTTTTTCGTGCCAGCACCTACTGCGACACGGGACCTCGGTTTATACGGTCTCATCCGAAGGACCGGTGCTATCTTAGTAAATTTATCAATTTTCATTTCTGAAAACCATTTTCCCAGATTTATTTTCTGCTTTAAAATTGTACAATTCAATATTGAATTAAAGTTACTAGAATATTGCTAATTTTTTTGCCTCAGTTTATATACAAAGGAAAGAAAAATTCGTTTTCCTTTAGCAAATTGTTCTTAAATAATATATTCTGTTGAGTGCTTTTTTTTTTGGGGGGGGGGGAGGAGGAGGGGAAGATTTACATCACCTGTCTTATAGTGTAACTATGTAAATGGATTTCATCAATATATTACAGCAATAGATTCATGCCAAGTTTGGACATACTGCAATCAAAATATATATTCTTTAGGGATTTCAAAATCAAATGTTGTTTAAAAAATTTAAAAGACTCAAAACCAAAATGGGAACGAGACTGGAATCGCACAGAGTACACGTTTTTGGTCAATGAGTACAGTTCCATACAAAGTTCGGATTACATATTGCAAATAAATTAAATTCTTTGGCGATTTAAAAATCAAATGCTGTTTAATATATAAGAATATGCACAAAAACAGAACGGAAACCTTTGAATTCAAACCAGAATAGAAAAAACACTGTAAACCAACTTTTATTCGCGTGCAGGAAATAACGGCGAGTTTTTTTCCATCGCAATTTATTTAATTGTGAATTCGTGTGAAATTTTAAACAATCGTGAAAAATGATAGTCGTTGGAGGATTCCGAATCGAGATTTAAAGTTGTCGCGAGTCATACTTGGTTTACAGTCTTTTTCAGTGTTTTAACAGCAGCATGTTATAACCGACTTTATATCCATCTACAAGCCGACAAGCTGCAATGATAAGTAGCATTGTTCTCCCAATGACTTGTGATTGGATATTTTTATCCAATGAAATGTGCATTTTCTCTCCCTAAGCCTTTGGTGAGGGGATAGAAAACACACGAGCTGGATAAAATCTATAAACAGGATAGATTCATCACAATAGCCTTAATTTTAACGTTTTTCACACCTTTCCCCTCTCCCCCATCGGTTGTTTTACACCACAAAACACTGTCAACATTGTTACGCCACTAAAAATGCATGTAGTGCAAAATTACAGATACGAAAATATTTAAATGTATGATCTGTTAGTTCAATGTTATTTTATTTTGAATTCTACTTTGATATCACATTTTGAAAATTCCAGGGAAGATAGCGAGAATGGAGGGGGAGGTTGGAAAACGGTGTTTAATTATTTATTCTTTAAGGTTTGTTTCAATTTTTTTTCTAGAGGGAGATTTAGAGTACCTGGGAGGTAAAAAAGTAAATAAATAATGTGTAATAACCAAGTTTCTATTTGTGTGTGTGTGTATGTGTGCGTGCGTGTGTGAGTTTGATAGCTGACCGGGATGCTCATGATAATCCTCATTCTGGTACATATTATACAGTTATTGACTGGGTATTAGGGCAACATGATTTGTTGGAACTGAAGGTGAAAATGTTGCCCGAGGCCGCAGGCCAAGGGCAACATTTTCACCTTCAGGTCCAACAAATCATATGTTGCCCGAATCCTAGTCTATAACTGTTTTGTTATACCCTTCACTTCAGATAGAACTATTAAAATGACATCATTTAAACAGATTTAATCAATATATAATCAATTACTTTCTTTGGAAAATTTTGGCTTGATCAATAAAAAAAAACAATAGCAGAAAAAGAAAAAATTAATAATAAAATTTTTATATCACAGAAATTATTTATCACAAAACATACTCTTTCAAATAGTATACGATATACGACAACTCTTGCAGCTCTAAACTTCGGCTATTTCCGTGTCGCCGATATTGAACGACGATTAATTACTTGTGACATAGCAGTGACGTTGCGGTCTAACAATTCTTATGTTGGACTGGCAGGCCAGTCAACAATGAAATTATTAGACCAATGCAATAAACATTTCTTTTGTTGGATTTTTATTAGCAATAAATATAAAGAAAGATAACAAAAGCAATTGTGACACTTAATGCAGGTTATCATATTGTCCATTGTCTGTTAATATAGCTAATAAAACCCCCATCCCCCCTTAAAAAATCCAAACATTTAGAGTATCCCTTAAATAAGGTCCTAAAATACTTTACTGTTTTTTAGACAGAGAAGGTAATAAAGGATGACTAAGACTTCTTTAATCAAAAATTTATTACCAGTATTTATCATATATTTTGAAAGAGAGTGACAAACTACATCACACTGTATAAGAGATTCTAAGGAAAGAGAATCAAATTCTATATTCTTTTATTGATTAAAAGCTATAGATCTTAAATCAAAAAGAGAGAGAGAGAAATAAAAAAGGAACACAAAACAATATAGAAAAACCTTAACTCAATCTGATAAAACACTTTCTCTCTAAAGGAACTATTTATACATTAGAAATACCTTGGTAAGGCATAAGTGTGTCGTTCTTAAAAATACTGATAATAATTATGCAATCAATAAATACAGGCATGTGACTTTTGTGTACATATCAGTTATAATTACAATATATTACATACAATTCTTCAACTGCCATGTAACTTTCTCAAAAGTCAGCACAGGATTTCCAAAACAATTCAATATCAACATTGTGATTTCAATATCCTCATCCTTTTGATGCTGTTTCTCTTACTAATAACTTTCTATTCTTATTTTCGATATTGTCTTTAGTTGAGCTAGATGCTTCTCTTTTGGAGGGAGATGGAGAATTTAATTTTGTTGGCTTCTTTTTTCGTGAAATTCTAGTAGTTTTTGACACAGAAACTTTTAAACTCGTAGTGACTTTGTTTGGTAAGTTTGGTGATGTGACAACTTTTGTAGTTGAAAGTGGAGCTGGACTTGATTGTGTTGATACTTGAGGCATAGGTGCATTGAAAAAGTAGAGCTGAAATAGAAATAATTAATTAATCCATCCATTTTACGTACCGATGTCAGTGGCTCAGTTCTAAAGTAAACAACTCTACTGATTATGATACCAGACCTGTTTACCCAAATTGTTGTCTCTCAGTATTTTTTATTAGATTTGTCAGTGAGATTTGGCATTTGCCCGTAAGATTTCACTTTTCATCGACTGTACATATATTACTAGAAAACAACTACATTTTTGATTACCAAAACATGGTCCAATAACAAAGCAAAACATCACACTGTACTTTCTTTTGAGTGATTTCTGTCATTTTTTTTAAACCAACGCGTTGTGGCAACTTAAATGTTTGAATTTTTTCTCGTTTTTAGCGATTAAAAAGCGTCAAACTGTGACAGATAACGAAAACTAATTCCTAAAATCCATATGAATGGTTTTCCGTATTTTCGTTATAGCAAAACGTGAGACGTATTTTGGACTGAAAATCCGTACAAAATACTGCGGAATCGTAAGAGTAAACAGGTCTGTGATACCCCATAGCAAATACATCTTGTCAGCTGTGTGTTGTGTTGACCAATACAAAATATTTCTTGAAATCATTTTTTTTTTTTTTTTGTAAAATGCTGGAATAATGAACTAAAAAATTCCTTATAATTGTTAATATCAAAAGATTAAAACTCAATGTAATTAGTTATAATGTAGACATTACACAATTATTACAAACATGTTTCTTCTGCTGCTATAGTGTGTTAATGTTATCATCAATGATTACCTTAAAGCCTACAGCTAGTGATGTGTGACATAATAAAACGAGTATTATAACAATCCAGGCAGTTTTCTTTGTTTCCTCATGTACAGCAGGCCACAGAGTGAGCACCAGGACTCCGCCCGACAAACCAGCTCCAATCAACACTAGAGTCCACTGTAGCCACTCAAACGGAACCACCCATAATATCTACAAAAGATAGGGAAAACTGTGCTAAAAGAATCCAAGCCACTCAAATGGAACTACTCATAATATCTACAGAAAATAGGGAAAAAAATTGCAGCCACTCAACATAAGTATGAAATATTTAAAATGTTTGTGTTTTTCTGAGACAACCCTCATACCTAAATATTTTCTGTCAATATTGCTTATTCAAAATTCTTATTCCACAGACAAGAAACTTTCTACTAAACATTCTTACAGAGATTGGAATGTAAATGGCTAGAGAATATCCATATATACAAAGAATCTCCAGGAATGTGTAGTTTGCTTTGCTGCCTTTCCACCATAGAAAACCAAATAACGCTGCAGGTATAATCCACCAATAACTGAAAATGGCTGTTGCAGCAAATGTTACTGAAAAATTACAGAAAAATTGTAACAATAATCAAACCACACAATTGAAGGATGCAATTAATTCAGTATATTTTGTACTAGAAACACATGATATCAATAGATGCAATAGAATAATCCTAAGAAAAAAAATTCCATAGCGGATTGTGCATGTACATAACTTTCTTTACACTGGTTATTAACAGAGGTAAATTCATTACTTTATCGCCTACACATTTTAGTAAGTCAAAACTGAATTAAATTTCTGATCCACTTGGTTATGATTAAAGCGAACACTAGCCTACCTTTGTGGAAGTCATATTTCCACTGGTTATGATTAAAGCGTACACTAGCCTACCTTTGTGGAAGTCATATTTCCACTGTTTAAGATTAAAGTGTACACTAGCCTACCTTTGAGGAAGTCATATTTCCACTGGTTAAGATTAAAGCGTACACTAGCCTACCTTTGTGGAAGTCATATTTCCACTGGTTAAGATTAAAGCGTACACTAGCCTACCTTTGTGGAAGTCATATTTCCACTGGTTAAGATTAAAGAGTACACTAGCCTACCTTTGTGGAAGTCATATTTCCACTGGTTAAGATTAAAGCGTACACTAGCCTACCTTTGTGGAAGTCATATTTCCACTGGTTAAGATTAAAGCGTACACTAGCCTACCTTTGTGGAAGTCATATTTCCACTGGTTATGATTAAAGTGTACACTAGCCTACCTTTGTGGAAGTCATATTTCCACTGGTTATGATTAAAGTGTACACTAGCCTACCTTTGTGGAAGTCATATTTCCACTTAAATCCTTTTCCTTCAGTGGTGAGATAATTTGCTAGGTTTCCAGCTATGGCTGTTGTGAAAACAAGTGTTGTACAAATCCAAAAAGGTCCTGAAAAATAGGACTGTACATTTAAATATTATATGCTTATTCAAATGCATTAAGCAAGGGAAAAAAGTACAGTAATGTCCTAGGAAATGTATGTACAGTAAAACACAGTTATAGATTATAGATTAACATGCATATAATAAATTCACACTTACAATAAACTGATTTTTATTTCCAGTGATTTTAAAAAGTAAACAATTAAGGTCTTCCATTTCCCACGGAAGACCTTCTACTGATTCTGTTGTTTCTTTTCCACTATTATTATTTTTTTTTCTTACCGATTTTGTGCAGACGATTTCTCGAGAACGCCTCGATAGATTTTCACGAAACTTTCAGCAATGATGGCAAATTATCTGAACTTTATGCGTTTTTTTTTATTTTGTCGTCATCACTTCCGGTCGCGAGATATGGCCAATTTTCCATTTTTGAAATGGCATTTTGTCCGCGAGTGTTCTCAAAAACGGTTTGAGATTGAGTCTTGAAACTTTCAGGGATGATAGATTGTGACTCGTACAATTGAGAAACCTGTATAGTTTTTGTTGCCGTGACGTCCGTTGTCCACCGGAAGTAGTTTAAAAATATGCAAATTTTCATTTTTTTCTTATTGAAATGTTTTTAATAGAGGCAAATAGACTGTTTCGAGTCATATTATTTCCACCGGAAGTTATTTCTTCTGAACCGGAAATAGTTGAAAAAATGCTCATTTTTCCTCGAAACTTTGAGGGATGATTCCTCCACACTCGGTGAAGAGTTAAAAGTCATTTTGACTACTTCCGGTCATACTGGAAGTGAAAAGAAAAGACCGGAAGTTGTTTGAAATTAATAGATTTCACTCTTTTATGAGTTGCTAAACAATTCTGAAGAATTGATATGAATATTTTTTACATTTAAAGTTGTTTTACTTTCTTCTATCAATCAAAATTTCCCAATCAAGATTTTATCAGAAATCTAACGGAAGACCTACTCGTTGCTCGCAACGAGATCTCATCTAGTTTATTGTAATTATTGTATTTTAATGTACACTGTATCTGATTGAACAGAATGCAGAAAACATGAGAACATACCATACAGATCCGGATTAGGTCTGATGGTGGACTGTAGGTAATTAGATCCAGGTCTGGGAAACATAGAACCGGCTATACGGAACAAAACCTGCTTTGTCTCCACTTCAAAGAACTGTTGGTAATACTCAAATGTCCAAAAAGATTTACCTTCCTGTTTGGCTTCGTCTTTAATCAGCTACAATAGATAAAAGATATAAACAATGATTACTTTGTTTATTCTTTGCTTGTTAATAAATACAAGTGGAATATTTATGCCCTCTTCACATGAATTAGCATTAATTTTTTTTTTTTTTTTTTTTTTTGGCATTATAATGTGAAGTAAAATATATTAACAGAAGACATATTTAGTTTTGTTGATTTTTTTCTTAAGATTGAAAAATTGTTAAGTCGTACGAAATTTAGATCACCAGAAAATTATCTCCCTTGCTTTGAACAATACTTCAAACAATGAAATAATTGAAAATTCTTACATCATGTAATTTCTACCAATCACAACAGAGAGGAAGTGCATAAGACCAAAAAAATTATCAATAGTTTCTCAGAAACCGCCGCATCAGGTCAAACACTGCAGCATTGATCAATTTTTCCCCTTTTCATGAATGCTAATAGATGGACATTTTTATTAGATAATCAATATATTTCTTATTAATACAATATTTTATGAATTAACTTTTAATCAGATGTTTGGAATAACATTATTTAAAGTTGAATACATTATAATTAATGTAAGAGAGCAAAAAAGTAAGAATCAGTTGATACCATCATTTGAAAGACTGACATCAAAAAAAGGCATAACACCACGCTTCAAAAAAAAAAAATCTGCCTGCTGCATTGAATTTTGAAATTTTTGGTCTGAGAAACTATTTTTTTTTTTGGCCTAATCTGAAGACTGTAAAATACTTCAACTCTGTATACCATCTTCCAAGGAAGATGGTGATAAAATAAAGAAACTGATTTTGATCACAAACTTAGGAATTAAGTTTTTCTTTGGGAAAAGTCCAATTCATGTTCCACAAAGATACAGGTTTAGTTAATTAAGACTCCTTCCAAAATTGGACTCAAGATCGGTCCTAAAATTCACCTACAGTCATTCAAATACCTTTTATTTGAAAGGTAAAAAAATCAAATCTGGAACTTACAGCTTTCATATTTCACGTGTATTTCTTGGAAGAAGGCCTTTCCTTGGGCACCGGTAATTTTGACCATTTGACCTTGATGTTTGACTTACTTTTGAAAAACTTTAAGGGGGCTCTCTACAACGTCACAACATGGCGTACTTCCATTCGAAACGCCATTTTGGTTCAAAATGATCTGATTCTGTCCTAAACAAATTCACTTAAAACTGATAAATCACCGGGTATAACACAACATGCGATATTGTGGAAGGAATGTATCTCCCCAAGGCGACGAGAGTGGCCAATGTTCCCTTTCTTTAAACATGAATTGATTGTCAATTTATTCAATTTCAACTTATTTATTTACAAACTTATTAAAATAAATATGATTATAAGTAATAAAAAAAAAATGATATAAAAAAACCCCAAGTCTTGATCATCATCATCCTTATTTATTTGGTACCACAATATTTGAACATTACGTGTCAAACCACTCATTTATTCCCATAAACTCCAAAATTGATGGTAATTCTTTCAAAAAGCATATATGCTCTCCAGCGAAATATATCCAAAACATGCAAATTTAACCAGATAAGACATATGCAGGGTTCGACACTAACTTTTTAAGGCTTTAGTCCAGCTGGACTAGTGCTTCATTACTTTCACTAGTCCGCACCTGATTTTCTTAGTCCGTCAAAAAAAAGAAACATCAATGTTTTTTAACATTAATTTAAGGTGACAATATAATATACGTATTATTTTTTTAAATAAACAAAGTATTTACGTGAAATATATTATTCCACAGATTCATTGAAATCTCGCAATCAGCAAGTACGATCGTATTCCCGATCTCGTTTTTTTTTTTTTTTTTTGTCTTTACATTACATCCAAAATGTCCAACATCTTTCTTAAAAGTGTCAAACTAAATCATGATCGCTAAAACCTTATACTTCATATTGATCAGTTGAAAAATTAAGCGCTGAACTGACCCGGCATTGCATAACTACCCGCCAAAAGCTATAAAATACACGCGGGGTTTCCCAGTAAAAGTTGTCGAGAATCGGACATCGGTAATTTATTCATACTGTTTTTCAGAAATTTCTATTGGTCCGTTCGGACTAATTAGCCACATATTTTATTAGTCCGAATGAAAATGTATTAGTCTGAGACTAACGGACTAACGTTAGTGTCGAACCCTGATATGTATCATCATCCCATTGCCCAGAGGATACTCTGTTCACAATAAGTATACACCCGAATGTGTGGTTTTACCCAGTGAAATTGAAACTCTATGAAATCACCAAAACGCTTCGACAACAAGTGGAATTATTATATAACTCAAACGTTTGATCAACATTGATTATCAGCTATTTTGTATGGAAAACGTGGAGATTAGAAAGGAAGTAGGAATTTCATTACAGGAATTTCTTTTACCCGCTTTTGACCATTTACATGTCATGTCATCTGTCGCACAGGATAATGTACATACAAGGTGGATAAAAACGGAAGTAAATCTACCTTTCTCAATACTATGAATTTACTAAATACATGTACATGTCTTTGTCTTTGACTGGAAACGTGTGGGTTTTCGCTTAAATTCATTTGAAATACAATACAATACGAACTTCTTCTGATGTCCTTGTTTGACATGTCCTTACTGATTCTTTTTCAATACTGCAAGTTTTAGAAGAATTTAAATAAAGTATATTAAAAACAAGAGGCCCAAGGGCCTTAACGGTCACCTGAGTATAATACAACAATTTAGAGGATCCATAGAGTATAAAATGAACTGAAAGGTGAAGCTTTGTTGCCCAAAAGCAAGAAGAATTGGGTGATCAGGATCAACAAAATAATTAATCTAGTATTCATTGACAGTTTATAAATAAGGTTCTAATCTGTTCCCCATTTATCACTGTACAGTATATTAAAAAAAAACTATCAGTGCTTCTGCATTATTCTAATTCCTTGTTGAAATCTCTTACATTGGCCTCTCTTGGTCTTTGATGAACATTTAATAAGACAAGTTATTTTTGTTCCATTTTTATTTATCTATTACTTACAAGTCTACCTGATCATTAAAACTATAAAAATACTTTTTGTATTATACAATAAAAATTCTTGCATAATTCTCTTATTCTATTAACCTTTCAAGTACATTGTTTACAGTGATTAATTTCAAAAGTAAACGGCAAAGGGGAATAACTCCTCTCAGTAGAATACAAATTAATAGAGCCCTGGCCAGGACCAGAACACTTGACCAAATGGTCCAGATGTTCAAAAATCTGGTAAAAATACCCTTCCTTATTAAAACTTTTAATCTTTTTGCCTCTGATATGCCCAAGTGAAAAGTTTTTAAAGGAATAATGCATTTTTACTACAGATTCACTGTATCATCAATTGAGCCCCCCCCCCCCCCTCCCCACCGAGAAACACTCACCCTGGGACCAGAAGTTTGCTCATCATAAGTAATCACTTTGTTTATCTGCTTAAAACTAAGGAGCAGACAGAATTATTTAATAGAATTAATGCATTTTCAATATATTATCAACAGCCCCACCCTTACGCCAGCACATCTGACCCGGGGTCATGCAGTTCACTACTCTGGAAGAAGCACTCTTGCTCATCATAACTATATACTTAGCTTCTTTGCTTTTTAACCAGAAGCAGAAAAGAATATTTTCAAAGAAATTTTGCTTTTTCACTACATAATTAATAGAGCCCCCCCCCTCCCCAACCTTTTCACTAGAACCCTTGACCCTGGGGCCATGAAATTCACAATTTTGGAAGAGGCATCCTTGCGTATCATAACAATGTACCGTATATACTCGCCTATAAGTCGGTCCGCCTATAAGTCGGTTGTATTTTTTGAGGTTATTTTGGAGGAATTTGACCCGCTTATAAGTGCAACTTTTTGCCAGAATCGGTTGACAATTTCAAATGAATGCCCTACTGTTTTAACCTGGTTTCGAATAATGTTTTTAGAAATGACGCCCATATTTAATTTTAAATTATTAAGAAAAATACTAATTGCACACTTAAGATAAAAATAAAGTTATTAAAATATATAAATACTTGTACTTTATGTATAATCTTAGAATACATAAATGATATAATATATCTAGACTTTGTTCAACGATAATCCTTGGAAATGTTTATAGAATACTACATTTTGCTGTCAAGAAAAATACCAATCTTTTTATGACTCGCCTGTAAGTCGGACATAGAGTTTTGGACCAAAATTTAACTCCAAAAAAAACGACTTATAGGCGAGTATATACGGTACTTAGTTTGTTTAAATAGTACCAAGGGGCAGAGAAGAAGATTTTCAAAGAAAAAATTCACCTTCACCATAGGATCTATATAGCCCCACCCTAGAACCAGAACCCCTGACCCTGGGTCCATGAATTTCACAATTTTGGAAGAGGCATCATGTCTTATCATAACAATGTACTTACTAGTTTGTTTCAAAAATACCCAGGACCAGAGAAGAAGATTTTTAAAGCATTAATGCATTTTCACTATATAATATTTTCACTATATAATAAATAGAGCCTGGCCCTAACATCAGAACCCCTGACCCAGGGGTCATGAAATTCACTACCCTTGCTTATCATAACTAATGTATTTAATTGGTTTAAATAATACCCAGGAGTAGAGAAGAAGATTTTCAAAGAAATAATGCGCTTTCACTATATGATCTATATAGCCCCGGCCTAGCACCAGAACCCCGACCCTGGGGCCATGAATTTCACAATTTTGGTAGAGTCACCCTTGCTTATCATATCTATGTATTTAATTTGTTTCAATAATACCCAGGAATATAGAAGAAGATTTTCAAAGAAATAATGCACTTTCACTATATGATCTGTATAGCCCCGCCCTAGCACCAGAACCACTGACCCTGGGGCCATGAATTTCACAATTTTGGAAAAGTCACCCTTGCTTATCATAACTTTGTATTCAATTTGTTTCAGTAATACCCAGGAGTAGAGAAGAAGATTTACAAAGAAATAATGCACTTTCACTATATGATCTATGTAGCCCCCCCCCCCCCCCCCCAAACAGAACCTCTGACCCTGAGGCTATGAATTTCACAATTTTGGTAGAGTCACCCTTGCTTATCATAACTTATGTATTTCATTTGTTTCAATAATACCCAGGAGTAGAGAAGAAGATTTTCAAAGAAATAATGCGCTTTCACTATATGATCTGTATAGCCCTGCCCTAGCAGAAGAATCCCTGACCCTGGGGCCATGAATTTCACAATTTTGGTAGAGTCACCCTTGCTTATCATAACTATTATTCAATTTGTTTCAATAATACCCAGAAGTAGAGAAGAAGATTTTCAAAGAAATAATGCACTTTCACTATATAATCTATATAGCCACCCCCCCCCACCCCCCCCCCCCCACCCCAGCAACAGAACCCCTGACCCTGGGGCTATGAATTTCACAATTTTGTTTGAGTCACTCTTGCTTATCATAACTATGTATTTAATTTGTTTCAATAATACCCAGGAGTAGAGAAGAAGATTTTCAAAGAAATAATGCACTTTCACTATATGATCTGTATAGCCCCGCCCTAGCACCAGAACCCCTGACCCTGGGGCCATGAATTTCACAATTTTGGTAGAGGGCTCAATGCTAATTACAATCATGCCAACAGTTTGACTGCTTGATGTCCTGGAGTAAAGAAGAAGATTTTTAAAGATTGCATTAATTTTGGTGGTTTTAGCCCCACCCCTCAGGCCCCAGGGGGGCAGGGACCATGATATTCACAAATTTTGTTCCCCTTCACACATAGATCTCATATGCTAAAATTGGCTGAAATTGGTTCAGCGGTTTCAGAGAAGAAGCTGAAAATGTTCAAATGTTAACACACGACGCACGATGGACGACGACGGACGAAAACAGATAGCAATAGGTCACCTGAGTGACTCAGGTGACCTAAAAACCAACACCAAGATATCTGAGCCCACTCTTTAAGCAGATCTTTCACACCCGAATTTTTGTGATGCTTAAATTTTTTGTCAGTTTTTCAATTTCATTCAATTTCTTTTTTTCATCATTTTAACCCTTTGGTATTATATTTATTTTCAGATATTGGAGGAAATCCATCCAGCTCTTCTCAAGAAAATGCTGTTTTAGTTTTTCTTTTGTCTATTTTTGTAGATTCAAATAAAAATTATGTAGATTTCATTTATGACTTTGTTGGTTTTCATTTCATTATTTTTTAACATAAAACTTTGAATAGAAATTTAAAGCATAAGGCTTTTAAAAATATAGAATTAAGTGGTTTTTACAAAATGACTTAAATATTTTAAATATTTCCAAAAAATAAAGTGAAATACTTTGGAACCTTATTTTATTGGATATTGAGTCTATTTTAAGAAACAAATGCATGCAATAAAATCAATTATATGTCATAGGTGTAGAGATCCTCCTTAAGATAGCAAAAGAACCAATAACTTACTACTGACATGTGCCACATGGCTTAATTTTGCAATAACTAAAGCGTTAAATTTAATTCAAACTAGCTTTACTAAGCGACCACACAGGGTTAATAAAATTTTATTTTGATGTGCAGTGAATCAATTCATATTAAACTAATTCACAATAAAGTCTCCGTGTGAAATAGAAGTACTTGACTTTCCTACCTGAGTTTTGTCATACACATCATCTTCATCCGACTCTGCAGTGGGAGGAAAGTCAGAGAAAGTGTGAGTTTGAACTTTACCCTTGTCGTTCATGTATGGGTCATGAGGAATATCTGAGAGGGAAATTATTTTTGCTTTCAATATATCAAACATTATATTCATTTATTTATCATTACTTAGCAGATGTGGAAGGATTTCTTTACCATTTATTTCTAAATGTAAATAATTTCATCTACTCCATTTACATGTAGCATGCTTAATTAATAGATTATTTCAGTAGCAATATATTTTAGATACCTTGAAACTGCAACTCATCAGCAATTTTCTTATGCTCCTGAAATAATTGTCAGCAAAGTTAATTTAATTTTGAAAAGATCATAAGAAAAATTACACATTGCATGATAAGTTAAGTTCGAATTGTCTCTGATTTACTTATATGCTTGAAAATTGTCCAGCTATTAATCTAATTAAAGTCACTCAGACTAAAAAAAATTATGAAATCTTCTTGAGATTATATAAAAGAATTTTTAAAAATGCAAAATCTGTACTCCTATCCTACTTTAAAAATTAAAATGTCTATGATCTGTCTTCAGGTAGATTGAGGCAATTCGAGTCAACAGAATTAAACCATCGTTAGAAAAAAAAGGATATTGTCCATTATGTATAACAATGATAAAAGTATAAAAGGTATTTTAAAATCCTCTGTCATTTTAAAGTTAGACTTGTTAGTTCTCAACTGTTACCTCAAGTTTTTCCACGTCGATGTTTACGTCGGCCATGTTGGTTTGTGTAAAAGTAGTACAAAAAAGCCGAACAGTAATCGAAAAACCTTTCATATATTGGAGTAATTTCTATCTTTCTAACTTTAACCTTGCTCATAACTTTTGATTGGTTGGAACTATGGCTTTCATATTTCACAAGTGTATTTCTTGTGTCAAGACCTTTCTTCGGGTACCATAAAATTTGACCTTTTTACCTTGACCTTAGAGTTTGACCCACTTTTCCAAAAAAAAAAAAAAAATTCAGACTTTAACCTTGGCCATAACTTTTGAATAGTTGGTGTTAGGGCTTTCAAACTTCACACGTGTATACCTTGTGACAAGACCTTCCTTCAAATACCAACAACTTTGACCCTTTGACCTTGGAGTTTGTTCTACTTTTGAAAAAACTTTAACCTTGGCCATAACTTTTGAACGATTGGTGCTAGGGCTTTCATACTTTTTAAACCTTTTAAACCTTTTGCGACACGGGGCTTCCTTTGGATACCAACATCTTTGACCCTTTGGCCTTGACCTTGGAGTTTGACCTACTTTTAAAAGACTTTAACTTTGGTCATGACTTTTGAACGGTTGGTGCCAGGGCTTTCATACTTCACATGTATATTTCTTGTAAGAAGGCCTTTCCTTGGGCACCATTAATTTTAGCCATTTAAACTTGACCTTGATGTTTGATTTACTTTTGAAAAACTTTAAACTTTTCCATATCTATTTAATAGTTGCTGCTAGGATTTTCATATTTCAAAGGTATATTCCTCGAGACAAGACCTTACTAGTAACTTTGGGTACCAACATATTTGATTTGCATTTGAGAAAGTGTAACCTTTGATATGAGTTGCCATACGGGGGCATCAGTGTTTCACAAACACATCTTGTTCAATTCAGTGACATAGGAACTATATTTTTCAACTTGATTGTTCTCCTTCACTAAGTTCATTCTGGTAAAATGGACTCTGTAAGCAAGATAATACATGTACATCAGTATAATCTACTAGAAGATCACAAAGGGAAACTTAAATTTAAGGCCAAATATTGTCCATCCATTTCTGGTAGCTAAAGAGTCATCTTTAACTTCACACCAATTAACCAATATAACTACAGGTGTACGTACCGGTAATTAGGACCTTCAATTGTGCTGAATTATATCTTTATTGATTATTTCAGTATTTACAAATGCCAATTCATTTAATTTTCAAAACATAACTGTTAAAAAAATTACAGTATTATCTGTTAATCGTAAAAGAAATGTATAGTATAAAATGTTAATTATCTATTTATGAAAAAAGGAAGACTCTAATATCAGAGTCCTTACAAAACTGCAACATTAAAAGTGTTCTGACCCACTTCCTTTGTCAACTGTGGACTGTTAAACTACATGGATTTTGTGGGGGAAATTAAATCTGAAATACCAAAAACCTCAATTTAACTTAAAGTCAATTTACAAATAAATTGTGTGGTCAAAAAAGTCTGTTATTGTTGTATAAAATGTAATTTGTTATGTAATTCATGACTTTAATAAAGTAATTGTTATTTAATTAATATTTTTCTGAATGAGAGTAATGGTAATTGTTATGGTAAAATTCCAAAGTAATTGTAATATAATACATTAAATTTCAAAGTCCAGGTCTAGATCTGGTGCCTAGGAGAAGTAAGCATCCCCTTATGTAAAACGGAGTAATCAGTAGTCAAAAGGGTATAAAAACATGGTCTAAACATTGATCGTACCCGTAACATGCTCTTGAGTATCGAATCAACACCATATGCAGGTGATTGTGAGGTATTACTACATACTAGTAGATAAGAAAAGTCGACAATGGAAAAGCTGAATTAAGTAATCCCTTTTAACATCAAGTTTAGTTTTTAGTTGGCCATTAAAGTGTATATATAGTCAGTAAAACATTCAAGTATGAAACAGATGTGGCAGACTGTTTGTTTCTTTTATTTCATGTTCACTGGTATATAGTATATACAGAGTAACGAATGAAAATAACAATTGGTAATTGATCATAAGTCGTGGATATATCGAAATATTGAATTGAAAACCACAAAAAGTCTTTTTTCTCTCGTGTAGAATTTTTAAAATAAATTCTCCTCCATGAGAAATTAAAAATAGGTCGGCTCATCGGAACTCCAATGGATTTTTGGAAGACATGGTCTCTAAAGATTACATAAATACATTGCAAATGAGGAACTCCGGTACCTTTTTAATATCAACTTCAGTACTTGTGTACAGAATAAGATTTTGAACAAAGTAATTTAGTAGATGACCGGTCACAGGATATGAAAATTTACAAGTTCCACCTTTTATTAAGGAAGCAGTTTTCTATGATGTCAAAAAGCCTGTTCTTTAATTGGTCTTGAAAAATGTTTGCATAAGGCATAGAAAAGATATGTTTTTATGGCATTGATGTTCGAAAAGTTTGAGATTTTACATTTTCCAAAAGTTCTTCGGAGTTATTTAGAATCCATACTTGATTTGCACCACTATTGAATATTTTGTAGGATAATACGTTTGAAGTTTGTCCTTCACAACAGTCAGTATTTTGGTGAGGAGTAAAGATAGGAACATGACTGAACCTTTACTGGATCATGCAATACATCTTGGTTTATAAGCATTTTTATGAAGTTTGGGATGCACTACAGGTATGGTAAATCAAACTCACTTACACTGACTGGAATGTTGAACGTACATAGGTATTTCAACCTGGAATGTGATTTTGAAGAATGTCATCTTTTGAAAGGGAACTGTGAGTTTATGTTGGAATATCAGATGTGGAATTAAAACCAAGTTCTTCTAAAATGCAGTTGTAATAATGAGCCTTACAAAGACTATATTGTTACAAGCTTTGTCATCTGGATCAAAAACATATTTTTCATTAGCCTTTCTAATTCTTTTATCCCTTTCGGTCTATGAAAACGGAAAGATAGTTTACATTTTGCCCCTTAATTTTCTACTGTTATTCTTTAATATATATTTAAAACGTTTCATTCATTTGACAAGTGTCAAGGTCTTCCCCTTCATATTTAGCCTCTTCTGGTATACTCCAAAGAATTCATAAAAGAAATGAAGTTCTAACGCCAATATACTACCCGGTACATGTATATGTTAGTAAACTTTGAAGTTGGCTTTTCCAACTTTAATCTTGGCTTTTCCAACTTTAAAGTTAGCTTTTCCAGCTTTAAAGTTGGAAATTCCAACTTAAACACAATATGAACGCTTGGACAAACATGGGAATAAAACGTGATTATGTACATGTATCCGGTTTGATAAAGGCAAACTTTTTGTTGGGTGACAGATAACCGAGTAGTAGAAAATGAGAGTACATGTATTCTGATAAGTAGGGTTGTACGCAAAACAGAAGGGGACACATATTTCGTAAAATCGTAATAACCTTCAAAAGTCATAGAAAAATAATTATGAATAAAATGTCCTTGTATGATTGAATGATAATCAGTTGATAAATAAAGCTGTGACGGCTACACAATTAATCATGCATTATTTGTAAAAGCTTATCTATAGGAAGATAGCATAGGTAAGTGCAACAATATACATGTTCAACTAATACAAAATATGGTTTACAGAATGTACTAGTATTTGTAGAACCCCTCTCTCTTTTTCAAAGATTATTTATCCTTTTAAAAAACTCTAAAACTCCCCCAAGAGTTTTTGTGGATTGTCACGGATACTCTGAATGGACTCATTTAGATCACGTGCAGCCTTCTTCAACGCAGCATACGTTTTCTGAAAGTCTTCATTGGTGTATATCTTGTTACCATTCTTCTCCACAAGCTTCTCAAGCACAGTCAACAGTTTTGAAATTTACTGTCTATTTTCCTCCCCTTTTGCCATGTTGTTAATTCCCACGTATCTGTTCCCACATTTTTGAAGCCAATGTCGCAAGCGCTTGTCTCCCTTTTGAATTTTATCCTCTAAAGTTTCATTTTGGTCTATTTCATCAATATGAGTGAAGACATACACAACAAAGTCCCAACAACCTTCCCCGAACATCTTTGTGAACTTGTTTAAGAAGTTTTCATTGCCATCCGAGTAGCTTGTAGCTTTCTGCACAGTTAAAATGGCGTGCAATCCAGGGGCAGCTCTGAGAAGGCACGTCTTGTATTCTTTCTGTACTATTTCATTGTCTTCACTCGTGGACGAACCAGGTGTGTCAAAACATGTTAGAGATTTTTGCATTCGTTTAAAATTTATTTCAGACGCCTTTTGTGTTACAGAAATCGGTGAGCTTTTAGAAACTTGAACTTCACTTCCGATAATGGAATTGGTTAGGACACTTTTTCCTACACCTCTAAGACCAGCAATCAGCATTCGAAACTTATCCTCATCATCTGTCATATAATCATGAAACAAAGAATTAAGCGTATTCAGTGTATTATTAAAGATTACTAGGGTAAACAACAACAACAATTCGTTATTTTCTTTTATATGGCTTATAAATTCAATAGATTATCTCCCAAAAATAATGTTTCACGAAATTTTGATCATCTACAAATTTAATTTCAGGGCAGAGGCCAGAGCAGAAATAATGTTTCATGTTTGATAATGAAGTATTTTATTGTATCTGTAAAATTGGTAGAGCTGATCTAGAAAAGAAGCTGAAAATGTTCAAATTTAAAGTCTAAGGCTGAAGCACGACGATCAAATATGGAGACAACGAACGGTAATCAAGCTCAAAAGTCCATTGAAACAATACAAATCGGGAGCAGAGGAATCAGGGAACTCTAAAAATATCAAAGTTGGGATCAGGTGCCATGGAGGAGTAACCATCCCCTAACCCCCCCTCCCCCCCCCCCCCGTGTACACTTTTTCATGATTGGGAAAGAGGAAAAATCCGTAGACAATTCAATGTGTAAACAACGGTCTAACAAATAGTATGAAAAACGTCAGTCAGCATTCGACTTAATGGTAGATTATATTTGCTGACAAAGTCATTGTATCCACCATAAAACTCGCGAAATGATAACTTCAAAGGAGACTGTTGATAT